AAAATAAGGAGAGTAAACATAATGAATTTTTCCATTATTTCTCAACACACGGCGGAGTTCAGCAAACTAATAAATAATATAATTTTTTTCTCTACGACTACTCCTTAATGTATGCATTTCTGCACGTTATCAGGTTAATAATGCCGATTCCACAAGCCGCAAGAGAATATTATTCTCACTCGGCTGTCGACCAATCACGTTCGTCTTTGTTCATTACACACGGCAGAGCGTTTGTCACAGTAGCGTAGGGAGGCTGCGTGCGCTGCTGGCGAAAAAGAAACAGTTGACGTGACATAACCGTACAGCAGTAAGGTTAAAGTACCCATTTGGTATATTTTTAAATTAATTTTAAAGTCGTCGAGAAAGTATAGTTGTCTAATCGCGTAGAATGGCTATTATACACTCGCAGAAATTCTGACACTCACTCCTACGACGCTCGCTTAGTAAACATGAAATCATAAATAGTGCTCGTTGAAGAATATACAATTTGGTAGCATTTCTCTAAATAAATTTACGAAATGATATTCCTATCAATTACTATTTAACCAAACTAAAGATTAATTGAGAATATTAAAATAAATACATAAACTTAAATAAAGAAATTACCTGGTTCTCCGGGTTGTCCAGGTTGTCCTGGGTATCCCGGTCCACCTGGTTGACCTGGTTGTCCAGGTTGACCTGGATATCCTGGTTTTCCAGGCTGTCCCGGTTGACCTGGCTGTCCTGGTTGTCCAGGGCGTCCTGGTTGACCCGGCTGACCGGGTTGTCCAGGATATCCTGGTTGACCCGGCTGACCGGGTTGTCCAGGATATCCTGGTTGACCGGGCTGTCCGGGATATCCTGGGCCACCTGGCTGAGCAGGTTGTCCGGGCTGACCTGGATATCCCGGTTGTCCGGGTTGCCCCGGATATCCTGGTTGTCCTGGCTGTCCTGGCTGTCCTGGCTGTCCTGGTTGTCCTGGATGTCCTGGTTGTCCAGGCTGTCCCGGTTGTCCAGGGTAACTTGGCCCACCGGGTTGTCCCGGTTGTCCTGGTTGACCTGGATATCCTGGTTGTCCCGGCTGTCCTGGTCTTCCTGGTTGACCTGGCTGTCCGGGATAGCCTGGACCTCCTGGCTGCCCTGGCTGGCCTGGTTTTCCGGGTTGTCCCGGATATCCTGGTTGTCCGGGTTGTCCAGGATAGCCAGGACCTCCCGGTTGGCCTGGATGACCTGGCTGACTAGGTTGTCCGGGTTGTCCTGGATATCCTGGTTGTCCGGGCTGCCCTGGTTGTCCTGGCTGTCCTGGTTGTCCTGGATATCCCGGTTGACCAGGCTCACCAGGTTTCCCAGGATATCCTGGTTGTCCTGGCTCTCCTGGTTGTCCAGGCTGTCCTGGTTGACCTGGGTGTCCCGGTTTACTTGGTTTTCCAGGATGCCCTGGGTGACCTGGCCTACTCGGGTATCCTGGCCCTCCTGGTTGTCCTGGCTGGCCTGGTTGTCCGGGTTGGCCTGGGTATCCTGGCTGACTTGGTTGACCTGGTCCTCCGGGTTGGCCAGGTTGTCCTGGCTGGCCGGGGAAGCCTGGACCTCCCGGTTGTCCGGGTTGTCCTGGGTGGCCAGGATAACCGGGTTGGCTGGGTTGTCCTGGTTGGCTTGGGTGTCCTGGGTGGCCGGGATGACCTGGGTGGCCTGGATGTCCTGGATGTCCTGGTCGGCTTGGTTGGCCAGGTTCTGAAAATCAATAATTTAGTTACGACCACATTAAAAGAAAACTTCATAAAAGGAATAGAAGATGTAGATCATTATTAATAAAATTAAAAACTTTGTAATTAGTTGTCATGTAATGTTTTCTTTATAAATATAAAATGACATTATTCCTTTTTATTTTTATTGATATTGATTTGACAATCAAATTAAGTTATGTGTTTTTGAATTTTAAACTTTTTTTGTGAAATGAGCTCATACGGTAAGTTGAACTGACTGTGGTCAAATTTTAATATTTCAAAATAGTTTTAATGATATAACTTCGAAATCCTAGACATTTGAAAGTAACCTGGGGCACTTGTTCCCGTCTCAGTTTCACGTTGTTGTGTCGTTTATATGTTGTGTATATACGAAAGATAATAATGAGGCGACACAGACAAATTTGCTTAGGGGTAGCATTTGTTTTATACTTTATTATGACATTTCGAAAACGTTCAATGATTATATCATTATTGTTGTTTATTATTTAATTTCGCCTTTTGTGCTTTTAATTCAATACAATTCAAAATCAATCGGCATCTCGTAAGATAATTCCTTGTTACCTACCTTATCTTGTTACCTTAATACTTAATACCGCTAGTGCACAATTCCAATAGTGCACAATTGGGAACATTCTGTAGTGTTTGGGAAGGTTACGACCAGGTTTATTATTCATTAATATTATTTTTAGTTTTTTTTTCAGTTGTAATATTGAGACTATTAGTGCTAAACTGTTAAGGTGACAAGTACGTGTTAAATGAATAATAAAAGTAAGATTACATTTCTAACAATGTGATAAAAGAAAAGTGAAAATAATAGTGTGCTTTCGTATCATCGAGTTATGGAGCTGACGACCACTTTTTTAAAGAGACAACGAGATAGAGAGACAAAAATTAAAGTAAAGGGGCACCATGCTTTGCAATCTCATGAATCAACCAGTATGTATCACGGTTAATTTTAAGGTAAGTTAGTAACAATATTACTCCACATGAATGGGTGTAAACCAGAATTGTATAAGTGACATTTTTTTAATTTCTAAGAAATCGGTTTATTTAAGTCCACATCACTGTAACGTCATGGTGTTTTATTTCATCATGGAAACCACGGCAATTAAATTCATCATTAAAACCTCGAAAATACATTAAATGATATCGTAGGCATCCGCGGCCAGTCATGATCTGGGCTGTCCGGGTGACGCCGCGTCGAAGGCTGAGGTGCCGACGTTTCGACCCACATATCGCGGTCCTTTTCCGCGTCTCCCGGACAGCGCAGATCGAAAATACATTGCCACTGGAATAGAGCCTAAAATGAACACGTGTTTATAAAATGTCGCTTATTCCGTTTAGGTTTTCACCCATTCGTGTATAGATATATATGAAAAAGTATCCAAGGAAAGAAACAAAAAACCCAGAGTCCTCTTACGTGGTTGTCCTGGGTAAGTGCCGGGGCCGCTGGGGTAACCGCCTGCGGGGCCTCCAGGGCCTCCGGGGCCTCCGGGGCCTCCGGGGCCTCCGGGGGTGCCAGGGGTACCTGGACGTCCTGGAGTGCCGGGCCGCCCAGGAGTTCCTGATTAGAAATTACACAATTAATAAATAGAGAAAGCCCATACCCAATACCCATAAAATATGCAATATTTAAACAGTTATACTAAATTCTGAATCCTAGTCCGTGTGCCGTAAATGAATAGTGACAACGCTATCACCAACCTAGCGCTCCAATCATTTTTCTATACGTGTTTTTACAAGTTAAATATGAATGTGATGAAATTAATGTAACAGTGTATGAATTTGCACCATTCTTTCATACACAGTCACACACAGTTGACTGTTTTTGACGTAAATAAATAAATTAATTAATTAATTAATTAATTAATTAATTTAGAAATATAATTCTTCTAAAAAATACCAAGAAAATAAAAAAAAACTTTTTAAAGAAAAGACTTAAAGTATGCAGTGGTTTTGGTGAAAAAAAGACTTATTTCTGCACGAATTAATGCACAATTTTCTTCTTTTACTGACATTGAGAGTAAATAATTTAATGAGTCTCATGATTAGTCTCATGATTAGTCTCTAATAATTTCTCTAATAAATTCTCCATTCCGGGAAAACTGAGAAAAAGTCTCCCAATTTATCTGATTCCAAAATATTTGTTTTAAAGCAGTTGATATATGAATATTTTTCATATAAATACGCACTCCACTTCGTGTCTTTCCTCTTGGAGCAATAATCCGCCGCTAATGCGTCAATTAGATTTTGGCGTTTGACGGGTTTCTGAAATTAACGATTCAATTTGTGTGTGCTAATAAAACGGAGATGCAACTAAACTGTTAATTGTATTTCATCAAAATATTATATATACCTATTTTTTTAAATTAGTTAAATATTTTTCATGCACAATTCATTTTTAGGATATTGTAGATCATTCTACACAGTTTTTTCGATAATATTATTTTTCTATTCAGGTCTTTCATGCTCATTTGATTTGTTTTCATTTCTCATTGTCAGTGGCACTTTTGTTGCTCTTGGAATAGTTAAACATTGATCATCAAATCATCAAAGTGAATGAATATTTTCTACAGAGAAACAGATTTATTTGTAATCCCAACAAGATTGACAAAAGGGTTGAAGAATAATTAGATAGATAGATAGTTAATTAACGCTATGTTCGTAAGACCGACTTTAATTAAATATTCCTTGAGATTGCTTTCCCTGCCGGATTTATTAGCAAAAGGTGAGGATAAATTTATTCTTTTCATACAAAACTGTTAACACACGTGAATGGTCATTCAGAACTTTGAACGTCGAGTACGAATACAGATGCGTACTTTTGAATTCTTATATTTTTAAGAAAAAAGAATAGTATGGTATCTTACTACAAAACAAGATTGGTTAATTATCAAACGAGATCATTAGAGCTCATTAAATAAGGTATGTAATTGAGTCATGTAATCAATTGAATATTGCAATAAGACTTTACAGTGCGAATCTAGTTGTATTACCTTTGTCAAAATGTCATTGGACAATTGTTTTTTATTTATATTTTACTGTTCATCGTTATAAATCTGCTAGGCTGATGTTGATTGCAATATAATTTATTTAACACAATATTTATTGTGTATTCGTTTGCTTATGTTATAGCTTAAAATTGATGTTCCCTAAATGTAAATTCCTTAATACTGTGGATTATGCATACACTTACGATATAAAATCTCTTTTTTTACGATAATGATCTCAGTTTCGTTAATGAAGTAGAGTGGATTAAATTTATCCCCGCCGTACCTGGTTGTCCTGGGTAACCGCCAGGCCCTCCAGGTCCGCTGGGGTGTCCGGGGTACGTTCCTGGTCCAGATGGTCCGGCTGGACCTCCGGGTCCTCCTGGGCCACCAGGGCCACCGGGGCCTCCGGGTGTTCCGGGCGTGCCAGGAGTTCCGGGCCTTCCAGGTTGTCCTGCGAAAATTGTCGCATTGAAATCACATCGCGTAGAGCTCTTCCGCAAATGTGGAAATTGATACCTCCCGTACCTCATTAATTCTAAATGTAAACACTGACAGAGAAATAAAATGTACATATTTGAAGAGATTATAAAATCTGCGAATTTTAACCATAATTATTTATTTTGTTTATACGTTACTGTAAAATTCTGTTAATTTCTACAGAATTATTTTAGTGGCATTTGTTTTCATGCAAAATTAATATTTTTCCGTTTTGAAAAAGAATTTCATTGTATTTTTTTCTAAATTCTAACGACTCGAAACCTACCATTTAAGTGTTTAGATCTTACACTTATTGAAGTAACTATTTGAGTTAAATTTGTTGCAACGTAATATGTGTACATGCTGCAAGTACACATATGGCAAAATGCTTATTCCTTTAGAGAATAATCTACATTATTCAACGATTTTCGCCTTAAATATGTATGATACATCTCTGGGTAATCCCTATACTTCAGTTGCATATTTTCGAGATTTTATGGCAATGAAAGTATATCAAAAACCATTTAAAAACTTACTTTTTTTCAGGAAACATAGTGAAGTTTATATTTGAGAGATTTTGCCCTTTTTTGGTACATAAATATCCTTAAATTTTTACACTTTCTATTCCTTTAAAATCCCCAATGAGAATCTTTAATATCAAGAATAATTAGAATGCAATAGTCTTTGAAATAAAAAAGGCAATATTCCCTGATTATTGTGATGTATGGCTGGAAGTTTAATTTTTACTTCAATGATGTAAATATTTATGTTCATTTTTTTCCCTTAGAGCTCACCTGGCTGTCCAGGGTATCCACCGGGGTAAGATGGTCCGTCTGGTCTTGAAGGATAACTACCCGGTCCAGATGGTCCACTAGGGCCTCCAGGACCTCCTGGTCCACCCGGCCCTCCTGGTCCTCCTGGATATCCAGGCTGTCCGGGTCTTCCGGGTATGCCAGGTTGACCTGGAATTCACGAACCCGATGACTGAATTGTATTCCAGGCAATAAGACCTCGTTGCACTTAATCGCATTTTAATACAGCAACATATATTATTTAATCCCTTCAATATGCCCAGCTTATTTAGTAATAAGATAATTGTTATAAAATTGGCAGATAACTGATGTGTAAATGGAATAATCAATAGTACGATGAAACGATGGAACAACATAATAGGCCATGACAAATTCTTCTTATATCCAATTCCACAGAAAACAGCTATCTTAGTTTTGATGAATGTGTAATACCTGGCTGCCCTGGGTATCCTCCAGGCCCTGAAGGACCTCCTGGCTGACTTGGGTAACCTCCTGGGCCAGATGGGCCGCCTGGGCCTCCGGGACCACCGGGGCCTCCTGGTACACCAGGTGTTCCAGGCGATCCTGGTCTTCCAGGAGTACCTGGATCCAAGCAAAAACGTACTCAACAATCATCATAAAAATACTCTCATTACAATCAGACATTATAGGCAGACAATAGAAAAATAGGCAGCAAAAATTCTAACACATTCGTCGTGAAAATGAATTCAGGAATTATTATTTCGGGATATTATGTCTTAAATTTTATATTCTTAACAGTAATGCATATCACAGCTATTGTAACAACTTTCTCACCTGGCTGACCGGGATATCCGGGTCTTGAGGGATAACCGCCTGGTCCTCCGGGTCCGCCTGGACCACCAGGACCTCCAGGTGTGCCTGGAGAGCCTGGCCGGCCGGGTGTTCCTGGAAAAGTTACAACATTCGGAATCGTCTCTCTAAAGAAACATGATAATTTCGTGTCACCGGAAGATATGGATTTGTATATTACATTAAGTTACAAAAACAGTTTCTTACAAAGAATAGTCCCAAAAATGGCAACAAAAAAGTGTTTTGCCTTAAATGATAATTATGAAATATTAGTTAAAATGTGTTTAACTTTTCGGTATTTGAGCAAACAAACTTCGTTTACTACAGTTTGTCGGCGTAAATGGTTAGTGACTGCATTCACCTCTGCAATCAATGAAAGTCTTTTGTACACTCGAATGCCTTCACCGTGAATACAATTTATTCATGTTGTTTTCGCATATTCCATGGTGAGTGTAATTTGTTTTCAGAATTGGGAGTACCTGGCTGTCCTGGATATCCGCCTGGGCCTGATGGTTGTCCGGGGTACACGCCAGGACCCGAGGGTCCTCCAGGGCCCGTCGGTCCTCCAGGTCCACCAGGGCCACCAGGACCGCCAGGACCTCCAGGACTACCTGGAGTGCCTGGTGTACCGGGAGTGCCTGGTCGCCCAGGTTGACCTAAACGATGACGCAAATTAATGACATTTCTTTTAACATGCAATAACATTAGCATTTAACATTAATATTGTTTTTTTACATTGTGTGTAAAACCCAAAGAGATGTAATTAATTTGTGTCTAGCCTATATATCTCTGTCTATATATCACTTACTATTAATCAATTGTATATACAAACCTCCATAAATATTTGAGCCTTGCTAGTGAAATATATGCTTGTTATACTTCAAAACAATTTACTTCCCGCCATTAATAAGTCGCTTTGTCCCTCCAAGATCCTTCAACTACCCGAATGTTTAAAAATTACTCAATATATATAATTTTTCTAGATAGATTTTTGTTAACAGCCTTACATGTCAATGCATTTTAGCAACAAAAACGTCACAGAATTTAATCACTAACAATTTTAAGAACAAAATTAACTAGTGTGATTAGGCCGATTGTTTTTTTATTATCTTTCGTAACAAGATACATTAAAATTTTGTGGCGAATATTTCTATAAACGTATTTGTACAACATATTTTGGTAAACAGATCACTTTTCTTTAAGAAACTAGTTTCAACATACGATTAATGTCCCATCAATTTAACAGGCATGTAAATCAATTAAATTAGGAAGGCATTGATGTTTGCTTGTCATTAGTACAAACTATTCTTATCTTTATGCTGCAGCTTTTTGAAACGCTCCAACACCTGTAAAGTTTATTACAGATATCTTGTTCTTAATTGTTATCTCCGAAATGAAGTATTCGTAAGTTTACCAACCAAACCTAATGCAGGGAACATATAGGGAACTTTATAAATATAGGAAACACTCCACCATTTCTATTAATAAGAAATGTGTGATACAATCCAAACCGGCAGTCTATTTTTCATCCCCAACTATTTTTTGAATACAATGAAGAAATATAGAAAACACTATTTTTTGAAAATGAAAAATTCAATTTTACTACGCACATAGAGATAATTCGAAACATTAAACTCTCCGTAATGTGAAAGAAAAACTTTTACAGCCAAGTCAAAAATTGCAAGAGGAAACAGAAACTTATATTCAGAATATAGTGCTTCTGATCACGAAAGATGTTCTATAGACTATAAAATGATGTTAACATGCTATTGAAATATTTATGTAGGATGTGAATGTCGTGTTAATTTTTACATCAGGACCGTCGAACATTGAAACTTTAAACGTCACAAAAAAGGAAGGAATTTTCCTTTAAATTTCACTTGCCTGGTTGTCCTGGGTATTGTCCTCCTGGTCCTGAGGGTTGTCCTGGATATGTTCCGGGTCCTGTGGGCGGTCCTCCGGGTCCTCCTGGACCTCCGGGTCCTCCAGGGCCTCCTGGTGTTCCGGGGCTACCTGGTCTTCCGGGGATTCCTGGCCGACCGGGTTGACCTGTAAATGAAAGTTGTGTGACTCTAAACGAGGGAGAATTGTCGTGCCATATTATGGAATTTTATTACATGGTAATAATTAACGCCTGAAAACTTTGAGGTATGTCCATGAACTATTACTATTATTATTATTATTATTATTATTATTATTATTTATTAAGGTCTCTTGGATGACTCATGGGGAGTGTTGTAGGTTTCACGGTGTGGTTCTATCAAGGCAAAAATAAAAAATTTCCAATGCGATTCTTTCAGTTTCTACACCAATGTGACGAAAGGAAACCTCATGAGGCCAAGTATGCGGAGTGGGATACGACATGCTTGACACAGTCTCCTTACTTCGTTCAGGAATGAATGAATAAAAACAAGCCCTAGGAGCAACGCTAGTTGTAAAAAAGACGATTAATACTACACGAAACTGGTTGAATTAACGGTAATCAGTTTTTTAAAAAAAATCAATTCTGCCTAGAGATTAAAAATTGTTCTTCTGTCGGTTATTGCTTTTTCATCGAGGAAGTATACTACCCTCAAACATTAACTGAAACATAATATTATCAGTTTTACACACTCTTCAATAATATTGCGTATAGTGCCTCTTTTCTAAATTATTTTACTTTTAATATTGAATTAAATATATTATTTTTAAACTTCTTTGAAATAGTAACATGTTCTGTGCATTGTCAAATACATTTAAAATACTATATTTTAATTCATTAGACTTTCATAACCAAACATTCAATGAGAAATTGAAGTTATATAAATAATGAACGAGTTTTATTCAACAAAATTCAGTGAGACGTTGACTATTTGCAAAGTGACAACTTGGCCTTTATGTATTGACCTCTTGGTCATGAACATTTTACGATTTCAGCTTTGCCTCTCTTAATTTTTACACCGTTTCATCTTACTCGTGAAATGTTTTTCAAAATGTACCAAAAGCTTCATTATACAGATAGATGCAATTTATTTCATCAAAATTATTTTTTGTCATTAACAGAAATGGGCAAATATGAACTGTCTTCTCAACGAGTTCTAACATTGTATCAAACAAATGGCAATCAAATCCAAATAATCTTCCAGAAAATATGTTTTATTGAAAATTGTCATTGAAAATTTTACCAACTATTTAGATTGTGCATTTTATTTTAATTTATCAGAAAAATGCTAAAAAACAGACAAAACTTGCTTATTTTAAATATTTTGTAAATAATCAACGTTGTTTGCCAGTTTTCAAAGTAAGGGCCCACGATACATACATGTTAAATAAAAATAGAATAGGCATAAGATTATATTAAATGCTGCAATGTTTTCAAATTATATAACTGGGACGATGAACAATAATCGAGATCTTACCGGGTTGTCCAGGGCCTCCAGGTCGCTGTGGTTGTCCAGGGTAAGTTCCAGGACCTGAGGGTCCGCTTGGTCCTCCGGGGCCGCCTGGTCCTCCTGGGCCGCCGGGCGTGCCTGGAGCTCCTGGTCGGCCAGGTTGTCCTGAAACACGTTTCACACGAATATTACTCGAAGCTGGTACATTGTAATCTCAGAAAAATAGACAGTATCAAAGAAGTGTGTTGATTAATTGTGAAGATAATTCCGGCTTAATATGGTATGAGTATCTAATGAAGAAAAAAAACAAAAAGTCTCTAAAAATATCGCGACATATGTATTGCCGCAACTCAATAACCGACAGTATTTGGTCCTACAAAACGAGGTACAACATAAGTCAAGAAATATTTTGTAAAGGTATTAGAGAAAAGGTTCATAAGCAATTACATATGTGGACATATGAAAATAAGTATTAATTAAATAATACCTCAATCTCGAGAAAGACATTTTATGAGTACAATTAGTTAAATTGAAGATTAATATTATATTAAAAGAGCCATTTGCAAGATTTTAAATTAAGTTTTATGATCTCATTACATTCTGTGGAATGTTCATTAAAAGCCGTAAAGGGGGATAATGAACGTACCTGGTTGGCCAGGATACTGTCCGGGATATCCTGGCTGTCCTGGGTAAGGTCCTGTGGGGCCACCTGGTCCTCCAGGTCCTCCGGGTCCTCCAGGGCCGCCTGGAGTTCCTGGTGTGCCGGGGCGACCTGGCTGTCCGGGTTGGCCTTTAAAGAAAGAACGACCATTCACGTATTTTTGGTTCTCGAATGAGATATTCTTCTTTTCTAAATAACTTTAAGATGTTCGATGTGAAAATATGAATAAATACTTTCAAGAGGTTTGATGTGCAACTTACACGCCTTTACATAGCTTTTGAATACAAAATTATTGCCAATCTTATTAGACAAAAATCATTCACCAGGTCATTATTCCAGGTCATTATCGCAAATGAAGGATTCCCATTTTCTCATCATGGCAAGCTACCTGAATTGAGAAATATTTGGGATCGAGTACTGAAATATTGTGAGTAACAGAATTCGTTACTCAAAAAAGAGTAGTTATTCGACATAACGGACAATTCAATTATTAACTCACGGGTATCAATTTCTTTATGCACGTATAACATTTATTCAAATAAAACATTTAGATTCACAATATTTATTTTCCAAGGAAGTCAATAGACAATGTTTGAATCTGTTTCTAATAATCTCAAAAATGCAATTCAAAATAATTTCCTGGTTTATTTGGAATTAAGAAAAGTAAGTAATATATTTAAGAACGACCTATATAACCGACGGCTAGAGCGTATGCCGATTCAGCGCCTCGTCGGAAGGGTCACAAATTCGAGCCGCGCCGTGGGCATGGTTGTTGTCTCTTGTCTTTCACGTATGTGTGTTGTTGGCACGGATAATCGAAATCGGCATCTCCTAAAGCTGGGAAAAGCCCTCGGAAGAAAATATCTACTTGAGAAATCTAATTTTACTGACCCTGTATAATTTTCAATTCAAAATCTTATACTTTTTCAACAAATAAAAAATGATTTGCATGTAAACACAGAGAATTACAATCTTAAAACGGCGCTAGTATTCATGCGTTTCCATACCTGGTTGTCCGGGGTATGATCCGGGTCCTCCTGGTCCGGTGGGTTGCCCTGGGTAAGGTGGCCCTCCGGGTCCTCCCGGGCCGCCTGGGCCGCCGGGACCGCCTGGGCCGCCTGGTGTGCCAGGTGAGCCTGGAAGTCCTGGCCGGCCTGGTTGCCCTGCACACGAAAGAAGTTTCGAGTGAACACTTTCACACACCAAACATCATTCTTTAACCTGACTGGAATGCATTACGTACCTGGTTGTCCAGGATATTGTCCTCCGGGGCCTGATGGCTGTCCGGGGTATGGTCCTGTAGGTCCACCTGGCCCTCCGGGTCCACCGGGACCTCCGGGTCCTCCTGGTGTGCCTGGTGATCCGGGGAGGCCTGGGCGCCCAGGTTGACCTGACGGAACGATATTTATTGACCATCAAACAACTCGCTATTTTTCTCAATTGCATTGATATATCTGAAAATAAAAGGTACCTGGTTGACCTGGGTATTGACCTGGACCTCCTGGTCCCGTTGGTTGTCCTGGGTAGGATCCAGGGCCTGTCGGCCCACCTGGGCCTCCAGGACCTCCTGGTCCGCCAGGTCCACCTGGGCCTCCTGGGGTGCCTGGCGATCCAGGAAGGCCTGGACGACCGGGTTGTCCTATATCAAATATTTACGGTCACATAACGACACATCAAGCATAAGAAAGCTTTATTTGAAAGATCTATCATTTCGGCATTTACCTGGTTGTCCTGGGTACTGACCACCCGGTCCTGATGGTTGTCCTGGATAAGGTCCTGTGGGTCCGCCGGGGCCACCTGGTCCTCCAGGTCCTCCAGGCCCGCCGGGAGTTCCAGGGCTGCCTGGGCGTCCTGGTTGGCCTAAGAACGTACATTCCATCGAACGTTATGAGTGCAAAATTTCAATATGTGTTTATTAAAATAAGAAGTCCTAAAATACATATTTATTGCGATCACTTGCTATTCTCCGGGTTTTGAAATTTCTTTATTGTCGCCATACGGCAAACCGTTCGCTTCCCTCCCTAAATGGGAATTAAAATTGTTAAATTATTTCAATTTTATGCTACCAGGTGACTAAAAACCCAAACAATTAGTGAATTCTGAAATTGTACACTTCGAAATTGTATAGTTAAAGGTAACAATGTATTGTGATGCCGATCTAAAAGAGTACGGAACGCAATCCAGCGCCTTAGTGCGTGCCCTTCAGAAGTTGTCTCAACAAGAAAGTTCTCAATGTTAATTTAATGATGTTTTGTGTGGGGAAATGCCCTTCATCATACATCGGTTTATACGGCAAGCTGTGAGATTGAGCTCAATTACTCTACATTTGAGATGAAGTGCTTACCGGGTCTACTTGGATATGATCCAGGGCCGCCAGGTCTCGGTGGGTATGATCCAGGTCCAGCTGCTCCTCCTGGGCCTCCTGGTCCTCCGGGGCCGCCCGGACCTCCGGGTCCTCCAGGTGTACCTGGTGCTCCTGGGCGTCCTGGTACACCTAAGTAAAATGCGTGAGTAGAATAATATGATATAAGACGAATTAACGAAGCCTCATTTACATGAAATAAATACTTCAAAAGCATTACCTGGTTGCCCTGGATATTGTCCGCCGGGTCCTGTAGGTTGTCCTGGATACTGGCCTCCCGGTCCGGTCGGTCCACCTGGACCTCCCGGTCCACCAGGACCACCAGGGCCTCCCGGTCCACCTGGGGTACCTGGTGCGCCTGGGCGTCCTGGTTGTCCTAAGCAACATAAGTCAGTTGCATAATGAAGTATTCGGAAAAAGCAACGGAACACTTTTTACGCGAAAAATACAGAATCATTACCTGGTTGCCCTGGATATTGTCCGCCGGGTCCTGTTGGTTGTCCTGGATATTGGCCTCCCGGTCCGGTTGGTCCACCTGGACCTCCTGGTCCTCCAGGACCTCCGGGGCCTCCTGGTCCACCTGGGGTGCCTGGTGCGCCTGGGCGTCCTGGTTGTCCTAAGCAACATAAGTCAGTTGCATAATGAAGTATTCGGAAAAAGTAACGGAACACTTTTTACGCGAAAAATACAGAATCATTACCTGGTTGCCCTGGATATTGTCCACCGGGCCTACTTGGTTGTCCTGGATACTGGCCTCCCGGTCCGGTCGGTCCACCTGGCCCTCCGGGTCCACCAGGACCGCCGGGGCCTCCAGGACCACCTGGGGTTCCTGGTGCTCCTGGGCGTCCTGGTTGTCCTAAGTAACATTCGATAGTTGCACAATGAAGTATACGAAAATAGCAATAGAACTCGTTTTACAGGGAAAAAATCAAAAGTATTACCTGGTTGCCCTGGATATTGTCCGCCGGGTCCTGTGGGTTGTCCTGGATACTGTCCTCCAGGTCGGGTTGGTCCACCTGGCCCTCCGGGTCCACCAGGCCCGCCGGGACCTCCAGGTCCACCTGGGGTACCTGGCGCTCCTGGACGTCCTGGTTGTCCTAATTACCATTAGTCAGTAACGTAATGAAGTATACTAAAATAGAAATGGAACGCTTTTTTCGCGATAAAGGCAAAAGTATTACCTGGTTGCCCTGGATATTGTCCGCCGGGTCCTGTCGGTTGCCCTGGATACTGGCCTCCTGGTCCGGTTGGTCCGCCTGGACCTCCCGGTCCTCCAGGACCGCCGGGGCCTCCCGGTCCACCGGGGGTGCCTGGTGCGCCTGGTCTACCGGGTGTTCCTGGTCGTCCTGAATATACATTTACATTACAATTATTTGTGTGAAATTGTTTTTAAACATTACATATTTATTCAATAAAAATATTGGAGTTCATTTATTTTATCCAATTTATTTCCTTGGATGTGATATAAATTTCCAAAAGAGGTACCTGGTTGCCCTGGAAATCCGCCTCCTGGTCCTCCAGGGCCTGAAGGTTGTCCTGGGTACGATCCCGGGCCTCCTGGGCCTCCGGGACCACCTGGACCTCCGGGTGTGCCTGGCCTTCCTGGGGTTCCTGGTCTGCCTGGTGTTCCGGGTCTGCCTGGCGTACCTGGTCGCCCATCCGAATAAACGTGAATTTCAAATTCAACACGCACACTTAAACAAATGTTACACATCGTACGTACGGATTTCGTATGAATCATTTCTGAATAGCTATAAACGGGCCTATGTTCTTGTAGTTTCAGCCACTGGCACTCGCATTCATTTAACGATCAGTGAAAAAGAAATGGCTTCATATTTCGTGGCTACTTGATAAATTTAATTCGATGATAAATTTAAAAAAATCCATCTGTATGATCTTAATTTATAATTTGATACTAATACCTAAATATATTACGCAATACTCGTATGAGTTCCATGTAATGGAATGTCATTAATAACGTAACATAACGTAATCATCGCTTTTATTTTCAATTACAACTATTTTTGTGTACTTAATAGCTTTTGACACAGCACACGCCAACATCAAACGATTCCGTTTTTGCGTATTACCTGGTTGACCGCCTGGTCCGAATGGGCCTCCAGGTCCGGATGGCCCGCCGGGTCCGCCTGGACCGCCGGGTCCTTGTGGTCCACCTGGACCGCCAGGTCCTTGTGGTCCACCTGGTCCGGAAGGGCCGCCAGGTCCTCCTGGTCCTCCTGTTGAATGAATTAGATTCAATTAATGTTCGTTAACTTTGCTTGTTGAAGTTTTCTTAAGAGTTACCCCCGATATGAGTTAATTTGAGATATAAATTATGGAGTTCATTTCTGCCTTAAACAGAGATATGCAGTAGGTCATGTATGTTTTATTTAATATTTTTGTATTTATTCTTGTACTAATGTGATAGTAAATACCATGATAAAAATGAGAGTTATGCTTAAATGAAAACGTGCTACAAATCTGTGACCTTTACAAATTACTCTAACTTACGCTGGAATTTAAAATCCTGATATACGGCCAACCTTTAACTCTGTCCCACCTTCCGAGTCGGAATTGGTTTTATTATTGGATATTCCGTACTCCAGTCTCTATTCAGATCATAGTCGGCGCTTACAAATGCTGCGATAAGCAGGTCTAGATGTGAGTTGGTGAAATAAGAAAAAGATAAAACGGGTGAAATGACCGAATCGACTGCGGACCGGTCGGCCACATATTTTACATATAGTTACCGAACTTGATCACTTGCTTCTGCAGGCCTGATTGCAGTTCACTGCTTACAATAGTAAGTATAACTGGCCTCGTACGATTTATTGTTTGTTTTTATGTTTATCTCAGCACCAGAGGCTACGTCGAATATCAGAGACGGCTAGCATCTAGGTTACGTGATGATCTTAAAATAATGGAACAAAAAGCGGCTGGATTGTCTGAAAAGGGTTAAAAATGAAGGATTGTCCAAGCAGGCCTATTATTGTAATACAAACAGGAAGAAGATATATTGCTTTAATCCTTTCTGTTTATATTGCTGCTGCTGATTTGTTAATGAGAATGTGATGTGAAGTATGTTAAACGAGAGAATATTAAGAAGCGATGGTAAAGTTTGCGATTATATTAAATGCATTAAACTTTTAGACAGCGAGCACTAATCTGATCCCTCGTAAAACAGCTTCCACCAAGCCGACTGTGAATGTGCTATACTACACTCTGTATTGCATTCCACCTGCATCCATAGACCTGACATGCTCTAGCTGGAAACTGTAGATTCTACGACCGAAGTAAAACTGAGTGCGCGAATTGCAGGGCCTGACCACTCATCGGGTCGTGGGCAGCCGGTGCATACCACGTCCCCGAGGTCACTGGCGGAACCAGGCTTACAGACCACTTGCCATGATGACGAATTGGAGAGTGATGGGAAACGATGACGATGCTTCGTGGCAACACAAAATAAACTAATTTTGGCGGCCATGAGCCTTCATCTCTAGTCCGTGCCAACGGAAACTCTTCTTTTCCTCTTACTCTCATTAGACCTCGTTCTTCCACTGGACCTTGTATTCCCACTAGACCTCCTACTCCCACTAGACCTCCAACTCCCACTGGATTTCCTACTCCCACTGGACCTCCTTCTCCCATTAGACTTCCTACTCCCACTAGATCTCCTACTCCCACTTGACCTCGTACTTCCACTAGACCTCCTACTTCCACTAGACCTCCTACTTCCACTAGACCTCCTACTCCCACTAGACCTCCTACTCCCACTAGACCTCCTACTCCCAATAGACCTCCTACTCCCAATAGACCTCCTACTCCCAATAGACCTCCTACTCCCACTAGACCTCCTACTCCCACTAGACCTCCTACTCCCACTAGACCTCCTACTCCCCCCAGACCTCTAACTCTTCTTAGACTTCTTATTCCCTCTAGACCTCCTACTCCCCCCAGACCTCTAACACTTCTTAGACTTCTTACTCGCACTAGACCCAGCTCTATCTGGGTACAACATTCCGTGACCAAAGCGAAACGGAGAGTATGAAGAAGCCCGATCACCCATCTGGTCCCAATTCGCCGAGGCGCACTACGTCGCCGAGACCGCTGTCGGAACCTGGCTTATGGACAAAATGAATGACGAACAATTGGATAGTGATGGGAAACAACTAATCTTTGAGGTTTCACAAAATAAACTAATTTTGCCAACCACGAGCTCTTATGTCTAGACCGTTCCCACGCACAAGAGCGAACTCTTACTCCCTCTAGACCCGCACAGCTCTACCAGTCAACTGAAAATTCGGAGACCGAAGGACAACAGGGAGAGCAGCCGCATCACCCACCTGGCCCCGAGTCGCCGAGGCGCACTACGTCGCCGAGACCGCTGTCGGAATCTGGCGTATGGACGAAATGGATGATGACCCATTGGATAGTTACGGGAAACGACGTTTCTTTAAAGTTACTTTTAATAAACTAGTTTTGCCAAACACGAACTATGATGTCTAGTCCATTCCCACGCACAAGAGCGGACTTTTACTCCCTATAAATCTGCACAGCCCTAGCAGTGAACCGGGAATTCGGAGACCGAAAGACAACAGGGAGAGTCCAGCGCACCTCGATCACCCACCTGGTCCCGAGTCGCCGAGGCGCACCACGTTTCTGACACCGCTGTCGGAACCTGGCAATAGGATAGAGATGGGAAACGACGAATCTTTGAAGTTACTTATAATAAACTAGTTTTGCCATCCACGACCTCTGATCTAGTCCGTTCCCACGCACAAGAGCGTACTCTTACTCAATATAAATCTGCACAGGTCTAGCTGTCAACTGAAAATTCTGTGACAGGGAAAGGGAGAGTTCAGCGCAGCCGGATCACCCACCTGGCGCCGATCCGCCGGGTCGCACGATGCCGCCAGGGCCGCTAGCGGAGCCGTCGGACCCAGGCCCGCTCGGCGGCCGCCGCCCGCCGCAGCCCTTGGGGAAGTAGAGCTGGTCCCACGGGGTGATGACGCCGTGGTGCTCGCCGTGGTGCTCGCCGTCGCCACCGTGGTGATCGCCGCCGTGATGGTCGCCGCCGTGGTGGTCGCCGCCGTGGTGGTCGCCGCCGTGGTGGTCGCCGCCGTCACCCTCGCCGTGCGGGTGAAGGAACAGCTCGACCGGCTCGCCCGGCTTAACCGTCCGGTAGCCCCACGCGTCGCTCACGTAGTGAGTGGCCTGGAAAGATCGCGTTAGGAGTCAGAAGGCACGAGTGGTTGAAATCTCATTTGTAGATTTAAAACTATTATCTCCCTATGCCAGGGTCGTAGCTAAGTTCTTAAACGCTCCGGTTATTCTGTAATTGAAGATGAGATAATACATCATATAGCACGCAGAACATTTACGTAATTCAATGCAAAAGGGAGATATAGAGGTTGATTGTAATATTACAATTATTATTATTGTTAATAATAATAATACAATGAACCACTACATTGTTTTTTGCATGAGACACGTAAATTTGATTGAATATGATACAATTTACGTGATGCAATGCAAAAAGAAGATATCGTGGTTGGTTGTAATATTAGACAAATATTTTTCACTTAAAAACTGCAAAATTTATATTATTGAAATTAAGAATTGAATGGTACATTTGAACTACCAACAACTAACTACTACACGAAGAAAGGATTCTTTCGTTACCGAAAAGCAGTAACTCTTAAATGTTCGTTTTATAAAAGCAATTTCAAAAATTAATGTAGTATTTCTGTCTGACACACTTCATCATGACTATATTTTTCATGTGTAGCATTTGTTTTGAAAACGTACATAAATCAATTCAAATGGTTTGTTTATATTTGCTCTTCACAAGGGAAGACAATATGATGGACACACATCAACAGTAAACGTAACGTTTTGTAATTCAAAATACAGATGTTCCAATAAAAATTATCAAATTTAAAAACACTAGAATAATTTTCATTGAATTTTAAGTGATTATCCAATACTTTACAATTATGAAGCTAATAATACCAGGAAGTTGTTGTGTGGCAAATTAATAACATCATAAATAACAAAACACATTCATTTTCATTTTACACTTGAATAAACGTTGTGAGACAAAATCATAAAAATTTGTTATCAATTTTTGAAAAACACTACAACTAAGTCACGTTTTACAATATCTTCCTCCATTTATTTTCCTCACAAAATTTGTCGCCAAGAAACAGAAATGCTTGGCTCCGAATTGAAGCACACTTTTCAACGCCGAGTTCTACAACTTTCGAAGGGCTGCAGTCTCTCTTCTGAGAGAGGAGCAAATGGAGTATTTTTGAAAACGTTACGAGATAATTGGATTTCGCTGCTGAGCGTCGAACACTGCAGGCGCTGAGGTTGCGGCTAACTCTCCAGTAGATACTTTTTACGATTACACGGTCATGACCGTTTACGAGTTTGCTGTTGAAGAGAGTTTTAGTGTTCCTTCTGTAAACTTTTAATTTGCTATCATTTATCCTCCCTTAAAATGAAATTTTCGTGATGCATTGTTTTATTTTATTACGCTGTTAGTTTTTTCCAATATTTCTTTTATGGAAGTTGGGAAATTGTTGCTTAAATTTTGAAATAATAAGTCAGATCTCGACAAAGGTACAAGCTACCTTAAATTGTATTCTATGTATCCTGATTTTTGGATCTTATTATTTAAAGAAGTCATTAATTTATATTATACTTAACAAAGTGAACTTTATTCTAATTGTTAGAAATACGATCATAATGATGTCAATGTATATTTCAATATGGCGATTTGAACCAATTTCATGTATGACGATTTGATCCTATTAAAATAATGCCAGTGAATGAAATATTTATAACTTCCTATAACTATATAAAAATAATACTTTCTTGTCGTCTTGGACTTAAAATATTTAAATTAGAATGAAACGAATTTCTAATTTTCAAAAATATACATTTCTCAAGATGAGCACTTTTTATTATTTTTCAAATGATATTGTTGCTGCAAAAACTTAATGCATTTCATACCCTTCGTAATACTTAATAAAAATACATTCAACCTGAAAACTCATTGTCAATGCTTGAGGTATTTCGTATTTCCACTAAATATTAACTGGCCAATTTGATCAGGTAACAAACTTTTCAACACCTATGTGCAGAATGCGTTCGAACGCCTATAAATTATAGAGCTCTATAAACCATTTATTTACTACTAGCAAACTCTAAAAATTAGTTACAAATGGAAGTTAGGGAGACGGCATAAGTGATCAATACATACGAAGTGGTAGATTTCAATCTACTTTGCCCTCATGCCTTCGAAACCAGTTAGGTAGTTCGGTCATCGGAGACTTCACTGTAGAAGGAGGTATCTACTGCAAATGTGAAATGTGAATTCAGAAGCTTGTAATTAATTTACTACAGATACGCATTACATTATGTATGAGATAGAATCCTTTTTATCCTTCATTATTCTCATTTCTGGAGCTGTATTGTGAATTCGAGTTAATATTTTTGTTACGAGGCAACTACGTCTCTTCAGCCTTGGCAACTTCCTTGGCTATACAGGCCGGCTGAAGTCATTTGTCATCTTAGATGTCAACTTAGAACGGTATTGTCAAAGACGACTTCAATCATTTCATCCAAACTGGATAAAAGTATATTTTAATTTCCTCAAACTCGAAGACAGTGAACATGCAGGTTAACGACCGGGCGGGTGCCGGCCCTTTCCAGACAGTTGCCGACGCGCCGTGTTGTCGCGGAACGCCCTCGTGGCTGTGTGCGGCGGTGGGCCACTCCAAAGTTAGGCGCTGAGTCCACGTCACTAACGCAATTACGCCGGGGGCGGGGCTTACCTGGAGCTTGCCGTTGGGGTCGATGTATCCGTAGCAGCCGTACACGACGCCGTCGGGCCCACGCACCTCGTGGTGGAACTGGCCGTCCGGCCCCACTTCGTACCCGTACTCGTACGCACCTGCACAGTAACGACACAACATCATACTACCTGTGATTTTATTAAGAGCCATTTAAGCACCAAGGGCGTTTGAGTGAGGTGCGGTGGAGTACATAAACGACAGCCGGCTTTACTTCTCCGAAAGAAGGCGTACGAAGGATTTTTTTAGGGGTAAAAATCCTTTGTACGCTATCTTTCGGAGGAGAAGTAAAACCGGCTGTCCCATGTTAGTAGATTTGCTGCACGTAAAAGATCCTCAAGCCTAAATGACGCCTCTGAGCTAAATTCAGATTGCCTGTTTTGTCGCCCAAAAAAACTCCTTTCTTTGCTAGTGGGTGAAGAGAGCCTAGCGAAATTTGCGTGGTCAGACGGAAGAGCGGACCTGAAGGCACGAGTCTCGCCACGTCTCGCCTACGGCATCAATTCAATTCAATTCAAGGGCGTTATAAGAATTCTAATGATCAAGCCCGAAGGCTTTTGGACGCCTGAGATTATTAGAGCCAGTTATCGCTCGTGGTACATTACAAGATTTTATTTTAATTATTCAGACTTTCTTATTTTCTGTTTATTTAGATGTTCACTTGGCTCGGTTTGTCTTTTCATATTTTCCTCCCATAATTACCTTCCGTAATTCCCTCTCATAAGTAAAAGACTCAGTAGAACAAGGGACTATCCCATTTTGGGCTGGTTTAGAGATATTGAGGGTGTTACTAAAACGTCTTTTTCATATCTAAGTACACTTTTCAACACAGTACACTTGCATATAAGTCCATACTGGAATAACATTTTACAGTAAAATCTATAAAACTATCTAAAATATTATTTAATGTTAATAACTCAATTTCACAAAAAAAGAGGGGTAGCTTCTTAATTTACTGAACCCTACAATACCCTCCATAAGAAAAAAATGTAGTATCATTCAACGGTTTTCATATTTACGTTATAACCACGATTCTCTAGGCACAGGTAAGTTATGCACCATATAAGGAGCTCCGTATCCAAGAAAACGACAAGCAGTAATTTGTCAGTAAAAAATGAAAACTATTTACAATTTTTTCGATATAAACTCATAAGCAAATAGATATATCAATAAATATGTTTTAATATTTTACTGAATATTAGTGTTAATAAATGCAATGATGCATATTCTCTCAGACTTCGAAATTATTTTCCTCCAAGAGCACGAATGCCATTTATTTATATTTGAACAGTAAATATAGTTTCAGTGAAACTCGATAATCGCAAGAAAATCATGTTTGTAAGTTATAAAGAATAGATATCACATTCCTTCAGTTGGTCCTTGGCCAATTGAAGTGGTGATGATAACAAAGAAAATAACATTTTACATTTTAATTTGCAATAAACGATCAAAACATTATAAAACGTTGTGCATTTTTTAAGAATAACTGCATTATCTAGACAGAAACAATATTAAAAATAAAATAGAATTCGGAAAAATAAAATACGTTACGTAAAACAAACATATTGTTGTATAATGTTCGTAGCTGAAACATAATATTTAGACATAACTATTATAACCTGATCATTTCGAATAGCATTTAATATAATTCAGCATAGTTGCGACTAGCGAAATATTTATGTTTCATTTATGTTCGAGCAATAAAAGTATTGAAATTACCAAAGCTTGAACAATAAATAATAAAATAATTCAATAATTCAAACATTGAAAATTATTTTTGAAATGTCAATTTTTTACGCTCAATTATGTTCTTGATGAATATTACGACACACCAATATTAAGTTTGGAAATTATAAAAACGTATTTTATTACCTTCACTTGCAATTTAAAACAACGTATTGCATTTTTTGTTTTTCTTTTACTCGGAATTTAACAAACATTCAAACACTACAATTTTATCGTAAACTTATTTTTAATTTTATCTAATGGTTTTTTGCTGGAATGAATTTTTACAGGTATATTTTTGATAAATGATTCGAAATGTTATACTAGCATTTAATTTGTTAATGGCTTTGGCTTCATAATTTTAAATGGATACATTAACGTTGATTCCTTGACATTTGACTTCGAACTGCTATCGAAACAGCAGAATTCCCTGTCGGCGAAGTTAGTTAAGTAGTCTCCCTCAACTAAATTTTCGCTAACAAGCAGTAAGAAGATTACTTCTTATGTAAGCTGTCCTTTCAGTATAAAAGTTACTTCGGAGAATGTATCTTTAGAACAGCTTCTAAACTTTTTAATCAATCATTTAAAGAAATTTTCTTTTCAATGCCAGATAAATGTTTAAAGAGAATTATGATTAAAAATAGAACAATAGGAGTGGAGTTCGTGGTACAGTTTAATGGAATATTAGCTTCGCAATGATCTATTGACTTTGCCAAAAACAGAAACGAAATGAATTGAAATACATTTTAAAATATGAAGAACCCTTCAATTTTCACAACTGATTGTAATTGTAAAGACAGTTGAATATAAATGGAATCAAATACTCACGTGAGATTTTGTCTGGCAACATGCTGATCGCCATTTTAGAAAATTTAGGAAACATGAAAAATAATATCCAAGTAGTAAGGCATTTGAACCTTTGAGTTAGAAAGTTCGAGTTCAGAATAATTGCAACCGGAAGGTACATGTTTAATGCAAGGTAAAGGTCCATTCTTTGGCCATTGAATATCCAGTAATATTTTTATGAGTCTTCACAATTCTCTTCAACTCTAGCTCCAGTGTATATCCAGACCCTCCCGATGATTGATACTACTGATAGTGTTGTCGTTTTACTAAACGAATAAATAGTAATTTCTGTTTTTTTTCTTGTGATGAACCGGTTTTTCAGTATAAATAAAATAACGTTTGGAATCAATACATTTGTTTAAATCAAACCAAGCACAACTTTCTTTGCACCATAACTGTACTAGAAGCAATGACTCAGAGGTATTGTGTTCAGTACAATAAGTAGTCAGTAGTAAATTGTAACGAATTGTAGCAAATTTTAGTGAAGCTTCAAATGGACTTACACAGTGTTTAGGAAAGTAAAAATCTCATCGTAAGTAAGGTATTCATTTTTTGTTGTAATGTGCATGTTGGCCTTTGTAAATATAAGTCTAACCTTGCGTCACACGCTTGCCCATGGCATGCAGGCAAGAAAAGCCACTTTACGGTGCAACGAACTTCGAATTGCAACTCGTAGAAGAAATAATGAATAAATGACGGCATAAAGGCGTTCTTTTGATTAATTTCAAGATGTTATCAAAATTTAGAGTTTATTTTATCAATACGGTAAGCGAAGACAATACGGCTTTTTATTATAATAATAGGAAGCGATAACACATCTGGAGCCCACTGCCTTCTATTTAAAGCCAAAGCCACAAAATTTGGTTGAGTAGAAATCTAAACCTTTTTTCTAAAGGAAATCCTTAGTGTTTTAAATACTAAGACATTAATAACGTTAATATTTATTTAACTAATGGGTTTTTAATGCCTACTCTTTCACGTGGCCCAAAATCCACTATTACCCTGGGATAACCCTACATCCTGCAAAACCGGCGCAAATTAAACGAAGTTCGTTTAATTTGAAGTTCGCATTTCCATGTTAGCATTTGTAGGGGTTCCGCCGCCAGAGTCACGTGATGGGTCTCGAACTGCAGTGTCCTTGAAAAAGTCCACATTATGATGGAAACGTCGAGACATATAATGACTTTAAATATAAAGACATTAATAACGTTAATATTCCCTTAACTAACAGCTTTTTAATGCCTACTCTTTCACGTTCAAAACCCTCTATTGCCCTGGGTTGCCCTGTTCAAATGATCCTGCAAAACCGGCGCAAATTAAACGAAGTCATTTCCTTGTTCGCATTTGTAGGGGTTCCGCCTCCCGAGTCACGTGATGGCTCTCGGCTTCCGGGCTGGAGTGTCTCTGAAGAAGACCACGAAACGTCGGCTTCACTGCCCTTGGCGCGGCGCCACCCGGACAGCCGAGAGCCTTCACATTTGTCCGGGTGTCAGCTTGAGCGCAAACGCAAGCGGACCACGTTATGACGGCCGAAACGTCGGCTTCACAGCCTTTGCCGCGGCGCCACCCGGACAGCCGAGAGCCTTCACATTTGTCCGGGTGTCAGGTTGAGCGCAAAGGCAAGCGGACGCAGCGCGCCGGCGACGCTCACTGTTGTTGAAGTTCTGCTCGTGGTACTGCGTCTTGTCGGGGTCCTCGATGTCGACGATGACCTCCTTGTCGCCGTCGCCGCTCGTGTCCGGCCGCTGGGGCCGCGAGAGAGGCTCCTGCGCCGCCGCTCTGGTCGCCGCGAGCGCCTGCAACACGAGGTGACCACACTCCGGTTAGCGATAACCAAACATCGAAGTTGCAAATTAAAATATCTATGTTAATAATACATTCTACTACATATATATACACGATTCAATAATAGACAAAACACATAAATGTTTTAATGCTGGTTTAGAAACATCTAACATTAAATTCGTGCACAACAAAATCTAATTTGACTCAATACATTTGTTTAAATCAAACCAAGCACAAGTTTTTTTCATTACAATTGTACTAGAAGCAATGACTCAGAGATATTGTGTTCAGTACAATGCAATGAACAAGTGAACGGATAAAAGAGTGTGATTATTCAGCTCATTGTAAATTGTAGCGGATTGTCGCAAATTTTAGTGAAGCTTCAAACGGAATTATATACACATTGTTTAGAAAAGTAAAAATCTCATCGTAAATAAGGTATCCATTTTTTGTTGTAATGTGCGTGTTGGTCTTTGTAAATATAATTCTAACCATATTTTTACTAATAAATATTATATATAATGTGTTTCTTCAAAATTATGTCTAGTGAATTATGTGTATCTTAAATATTGTTTGCTACATATCTTCGCGTATACCATTTGTGAAAATTAGAAGAAAAGTAATATCTTAATTTGGCTTTCAAGATTTAAACAAAGCAAAAATAAATTAAGATCGTAACATTCCTTCTATCAAACATATGTTTCAATGAGTGTAAAGATTTATAGTACAGTACAATATGCATTTCAGTTTTTTATGGCTTGTAGTTGTCATAACAAGTTTCACAATACGAAAGAAAGTTTATCTCAAACGACAATATTATAATGAGAAAGTTGTCTAATACAATCCACTCTACAACCTACTCCAAACAGAAATTCAATTATGTTGTTTATAATTCGTACAACGACACGAACAGGAAGAGTTCAAAATCTCGTTCCTCATTTCACGATTTCGCTGTTTCACAAATGAGCCTCTAGTCCTACAACAATTACTTCGATTACTTCGCTTGCTCACTATCGAAAGCGATTCCTCACTCATTCGCCTGATTTAGTGAAATCACGACCTCACAACCCATTATATTCACGATAACCCGTTTTGCGCGATGCCAATCTGTAAATTGCTCCGCGGTCGCACAAGGGGCGGTAGCGGCGTTATCTTAATGACGATCAAAGTAGCCTCATTCATGGGCGACGAGGCGCCTTCCGTTTAAATCATTTAGCAGCCGCCGCCAAATGATGTAAAACCGCACGAAGACAACAGCTGCCGAAGCTTGGCAATGCCGCCGCTAGGAGCGCGCTGGGCGAAGAGGATTACCGTTGAAACATACTCATGCCGCGTAGCAGACGTGCAGTTGCGACGAGGAGCGACAGAGAGCGTGAGTGTGGCTGTACGGTCAGGAAATGAACAAGCTTGTTGCATTGATGCCAGAAGGAATCTGAGTTGCGTCACAGATCACAAACAGGTGGGACTCAGAGTAAACCGGGGGCTTGGGACAGTCGATCCACGAGGCTTCACGTGTAAAGAAAAATATTCTCTTCTCCCCTATTCATAAACACAATTAATTTCTTCATACGTCAGAAACAGTTTATAGCGTTAAACTTGGATTAGATCTGTATACATTTTTTAAAAAATGGGGCCCAATTACGTCGGGGCACTGGGGCAAGTTGCCCTCCAAGTTGCTACCTCCCTTCTGGTCGTCCCTGATCACAAAGCAACCAGAATTTAGGAATTTCTATGTCATTTTTAGAATATATTTTAAGATTGTGTGCAATATTAGTTAACATTAATTAAACTACTTATAAAATTGCTTAAGAGAAAAGAAACAAACAATTAAGTTGACTTTAGAACGATGGCCGAAGAAGCAATGCGATTGAAATTCATTAAACTGCTGCCCTTTATACAGCAATTGTTTTTATCAGAAAACGTTTTTGTTACATACCTTCAAAGTGTTTAACTACAGCTAATTTGATAAAATACCTTTCGCTGAAACTTTACGCTTGGCATTCACATAAGTCTCCTACTTATTAATTTTTAGTAACTTACCGTTTATTGCAGTTTATCGTTTATTGTATATATTATTAAAGTATGTACGACTTAGCGTTGTAAAAATACGTTAATTGCGTAGGTCCGCTTTTGGAATATGGTGAAGTAAATAATTGCTTTTCAGGCTATTTAAACCTGTGAAACGAGGAGAGGAGTGGCTGAAACAGTTGTACAATGATCAACGTTTCGACGAAGGCGAAATACGGCCCGAAAGCAATGGGCGGGAGAACATGCGTTCGTTCAGCTAATGTAACTCAGAACGCAATTCAGGGCTGTCATCATCCGTGTACCGGAATGCGCACACAACTGGTCGAATGTGTTCGTTCGGAAGGAAACAACTCAATTACTCCCTGCAAAGAGGCCAGAGCGAGACGCACAAGATTAAACAAGAACGAATGAATCCTGTACTGTGCTCATTTAGACGGTTTGCAATTACTCGATGGGCTCCAATAAAAGATCAATACTCAGAAAAAGTGTATGTTCAGCTGTTGTAATATATATATATATATATATATATATATATATATATATATATATATATATATATATATATATATATATATATCACAATGAGAGAAATCAACGACTGTGCACTATTAAGCCAACTTGTTCACAATATTAATCTAATCTGTATCCTGTCTACAATATCAATCTAATTTGAAATGTTTCAGGATGGACTTGAAAGAGATCAAACGTTGCAAATGTAAGTATAATAGCAGACATTGTGGGCCCACGAAGGAATACCGAAAATAGTTGGTTTATACTTATCTGCGTGTGTGTGTGTGTAAATATATTTTTCTTCGAGAAATAGATCTTGAAGTGAAATATGTGTAAATTATATATCATATGCGGCTAAAACAAGTGGAAGTGATGATACGACAAGGATTGGAACACGAAATCAAGTTATTAGAAGTATGAAAATGTGTATAATTCGGATATACGAGATATCCGAATATATGTATGTCAGAGGTACATATCATAATGAAATATAAAAAAGTGTAAAATATGAAGTTTACATTGTCATACTTTACAACGTATGCACCCCGAACACCTATAAACATTTTAGAAACAGCAAAAAACCACACAAATTATGTAACGCATGCAAAGGAATAAACCCCTTCTACAATATTACGTTTTAGTAGCACCTGCTGGAAATCACTCTCTTTCGATAAAAAAACGACTTAATCGCTGCTGCGTCGGACTGCACAGACGGCGATGCAGGGCTCCGTGCAAAGTAAGGGAACCCGCTGTAGCGTGGATCGCAGTGGCCGTGCGGTGGTGAGTGGGCCGTGAAATTGGACGCAGCCACCTGGTGGTGCACGGGAGAAGAGGTGGCAAATACGAAACGTCTCTTGTGTTAGAGGAGAACCGTCCTCCTACCTAAACCGTATTTATTCCGAATAACTGCTCGGCCACGCGATATGACTTTAAAAGATTAAACTAGCAAGATTTTAAAACGTAATGTCAAACCAAACTAGAATCCAAAATCTGTAAAAATCGTCTGATCACCTCGGAGCACGATTTTTCATGTGATGATTATGAGGTAGGTGTACGTACTAAATCGAATAGATTGAAGTACAAGCTACTGAAGTAATAATATTCAGAAAACAAGATCTTTTTTTGTTTACTACTACTGAGTACTGAGTTTACTACTACTGAGTTTACTAATCTCTGAGATGGTGCCCTCTGATGGAAGTTACCTGAATTACAAACATGCCGCTATCCAACATGTAGGTCGGCGCCGGATCTCGCCATCCAGATTTTCTTCATATTTAATGCAAACCTTCAATCAGCCTTTTCAAGAGATTAATTCACCCATATCAATATAATATTGATTTCTAACAATGATTTCTTTCTTGATGAATCTCCTCAGATGTATCCAAGTGTACCCAAAAACCAGAGAGAAAAGGTTGATATATTTATTCTGTACACGTCATACGTACAAAGTATTTCTATTACATCAGACCTTTACTCATCAAAGTTATAGGATTTCCAGCATTTTCTCTCCACTAATTCCGTAAAATTTAGATCATTTACGTTCAAATTGTTTCTCATTAAAAGAGCGTGTGAAGTGTTCTCTGCCAACTTTGAAGTTTTGTTATATCTCACGTTAATAGTTTCCTCGCTGCATTGAAGACATTTCCTTATTTTTAGAAAACCAATAATGACTTGACGTATAATAGATGTTTAATGTTATAACTTGCCCTAGATAATAACTCTTGCGTGTCGAGAAGAGAAGAAGGAAGTTGAATCGTGTGGTGCAGAACATCTTTACTTAAAGGGGTACACATTCTGTACGATCAGATAGTCGAAAATATCCAAGCACTAGAGATACATTTCAAGCTTGCCATTCTCGTCTACAAAGTTCGACAGTAAAACGCGTCCATAAAGTAAACTTTATCTGCATGCTAACGGTAGCGAACCGGAATTGTGAATAAACCTGTTTTGGTGAAGCACGTTCATTATCTCGTAAACTGTAACAGTTATCTATTACATTCTCACGTCCGCATAGCCGAGTGTACTTTACTAGATAGAGTATGCGATGTATGGATGTAAGATAATGAAATAATTATAACGCTAAACAGTCCTGCTCTTTCTTTTTTGGTGAATGAATAGTATAGAAACTTGAGTGAATTGAAGGCGGTTGGTATGTCCTCTTACTCCGTCTGAATTAGTTATAAGAGTTATTTACTAAAGTTATTGATGGGATTAACTAAAGAAAAATAATTTAATTATAGTGAGTATGTATATAGTTTCCCACTGCATTCCATTTCCTTCATCTAGCCATCTCTAAAACAACTTGTTACATAAACATATTTGACTTCATATAACGTAAATTAACACGACACGAGTATGGATTTACCTTAAGCAGTAATGAAGGTGACATTGGTTGAAAAATGCATTCCACTTGACACACTGAACATTAAATTTTTCAGCAATATTATTCTAAAACGTCGACCACAGAACCTAC